AGCATTAACCACAACTGGGTTAACAAGCATGTTCAATGGGTGACTATCCCAAGTATCATAAAGCCAGTCCCACATTTATAGGAGGAATGGGCAGTCCCCCTTATCAATGTAAACAGACCTTATGGTTGCTTTTATCCAGTTCACCAGACCAGCTATTCCCTTAGAAATAGCTTCCTATGTATCTGAATTATGTACAGCTATCTGCGATTGTTCAGTAGTGAGCTGTGAGTCCTATATCAACCCAAACGTGCTCTTCCACCCTGCAGCATTCAAAACCAAAGTTCAAAACCAAAACCAAGGCCCCTTTATTATTTACTCCCACAATACATTTTAGTAAAAGTTCTTCAGAGAGCTGATGATAACAATCTACAAAATGAAACAACTCCTTCACATTATACCCCTTGGTTTCAATAGTTTCTTAGCTTTGCCCTCTCCCCGTGTTAACTACTTTCTTGGTGACCAGAAGTTTTAGAGGTAATTTCTGTTGTCTTGGCATAATTGTTCCTTTTGTGGGCAGCATTGAAGCTAGTGATGGAAGCTTAAATCAGCACAAATTTGAGCTTGGACACCATCAAGATCCAATTCAGCATTTTCTTTCATTTTAGCTATTAGAGATAACAGTAATCAACGGATTATGTATTTTTTACTTTTTTCTTGTTAGCTTGCATTTCCTTATGCATCCAGTGAACTACCTCCCCAGAAGGTGGATCCATCTCTAAATTCCATTGTTAACATTTACCTTTAATAACTGACCACAGCAAAGCTGCTACTCCATTCCATGGGCGACCATGTGGCCTCCAGAAATCAAAGGCTCTTCATGCCCCGTACTTTCAGTCTTTCTGTTTCCAAATCACATGTTTCTGTGAGGGGAAAAAACAAGAAAAAAAAAATAGAACAAGTTCAATAAATAGAAAAAAGTTTAAACCATAGTAAATATTAATTCTACTATATCCATAATCACTTTAAATGTGACTGATGAAATATGCCATTCAAAAGACAGATTGTCAAACTGGATAAAATACAAGATCCAGCTCTATGTTATCCATAAGAAATCCACTTTAAGTATAAAGATACAAATAACTTAAAAGTAAAGAGATGGAGAATATATATATATCATGCTAACACTAATTAAAAGAAAGCTAGAGTAGCTATATTAAAAGATTTTAGACAAGGAAAATTATCATAAATAAGGAGGAACACTATAATAATCAAGGGGTCAAATTTCTAAGAATACACATAAATCCTTAATATATATTCACGGAAGAACAGAGCACAAACACATGCGGCCAAAACTGATAGAACTGCAAGGAGAAATAGACAAATCCACTATCATAGCTGGAGACTGCAACACCCCCTCTTTCATCAGTTGATAAATCAAGCAGGCAGAAAATCAGTAAGGATATACTTGACCTGAAAAGCACCGTTCATCTATTTGACCTAATTGACACTTGCACAGTCTCTCATTCAACACCAATATTCATCAATATAGACTATATTCTTGGCCATAAATTATGTCTTAACAAACTTAAAAGGTAGAAGTCATGTTCTCAGACCACAATGAAATTAAATTACTAATTAATAACAAAAAGAAATGAAAAATCTCAAAATCTTTGAAGATTAAACAACACCCTACCAAATAGCACATAGATCAAAAAATAAATTTCAAAAGAAATTTAAACATATGTTTAACTAAATAAATATACAATTTATAAAAATCTGTGGGATGCAACAAAAGCAGTGTTTAGAGGGAAATTTATAGCATTAAATTCATATACTAGGAAAAATATCTAAATAAATAATCTAACCTTCCATTTTAGGAAATGAGAGAAAGGAGACAAATATAACCCTAAAGCAAGCAGAAGAAAAGAAATAATAAAAGTTAGAGCAGAAAGCAATAAAATATAAAACAGGAAGCAATAGCAAAAATCAACAAAACCAAAATCTGGCTCTTTGAAAAGTTCAATAAAATGGATAAACCTCTAGCCATAGTAACCAAGATAAAAAGAGAGAACACAAATTATCAAAACTGAAAGGGGCATGCCATGAGCATTAAAAGGATAATAATGGAATACCATGAACAACTCTATGCCCATAAATTTGATAACTTAGATGAAATGGACTAATTCCTTGATGGATATAAACTATCAAAATTCAGATGAGAAGAAGTAGATAATATGAATAGAACTATTTATATCTATTCAAAGAAATCAGATCAGTAATTAATCCTTGCAAAAATGAAACTACCAGAGCCAGATGGTTTCACTGGTGAATCTCCCAGACATTTAATGAAAGAATGATACCAATTCTCTTCACTCTCTTCCAAAAAACAGAATCACATGGAACATTTCCTGGCTCATTCTATAAATCCAGCACTTCTCTAATACTAAAATCAAATAAGAACATTACAAGGAAGGAAAATTACAGACCAGTATCTCTCACAGATGCAAAAATCCTCAATAAAATATTAGCAAATTTAATCCAACAATAAATAAAAAGGATTATAAACCAAAATCAAGTGAAATTTCAGCCAGGTATGCAAAGGTTGGTTCAACATTTGAAAATCAGTTCATGTGATCCATTACATCAACAGGCTACAGAAGAAAGAAAAATCCTATGATCATATCAATTGATGCAGTACATAATCCAACTCCAATTCATTATAAAAACTTTCAGCACATTAGGAATAAAACGGAATTTTCTCAACTTGATGAAGAACATCTATAAAAAATCTATAGCTAAGACATACTTAATGGTGAGAAACTAGGTGTTTTCCCCACTAAGACTGTAACAAAGATAAGCATGTCCCCTCTCATCATTGCTGTCAACATCATTCTTGAAGAGCCAGCCAGCACAATAAGATGAGGGAATAAAAGGTGTACAGTAAAAAGAAGAAATAAATTGTCTTTGTTTATGTGAAAAAACACCAAGGATCAGCAACAAGAAAAGATGGTATGACTGTCTATGTAAAAAATTACAAAGGAACAACAAATTAAAACACAGTATATTTACAATATCCCCCAAAATGATATACTTAGTATAAATCTAACTATAAAACTCTAATGAAAGAAATTTTTAAAAATCTACTTACTATATTTGAATCATTCTTCTCCATTAGGAAATATAAATACAGTAATGGAAGGGGGAAAGAATTATTTTGTTTGAACATCTATTATATGCCAGATATTATGTAAAGCACTATTTAGATTATTACTTTTCAGAATTACAGAAGTACTATGACACGAATATGACTATCACTGGTGTATAGTTGAGGAAACTGAAACTCAGACAATAGCTACAAGATGGTAAAAACCTTACAATAACATATTATTCAGCTATTAATCATATTTCTGAGAAATATTTAATAACACAGTCATGTTATAATGTTAAGTAAAAAGAAATTCAGAGTAGTATTCAAATCTTTGTATACCATATGAGACCAAAAGTTATATTTTTTTAAAGTAAGGTTGGAGATATTGCTTTATAACTCTGTGAAAAATACATCAAAACAATATGTGGATCAACTGAAAAGCTCATACACTGCTGGTGAGAGTATAATTGATACAGCCAATTGGTAAACTATTTGAAAGAATAGACTAAATTTGCCCATATGCATATTCTAAAGCCCCAGCAGTCCCACTCTTAGGTATATACCTAACATGTATACATTCTGTTCATCAAAGAACCATACAAGAATGTTCACAGCAACCCTATTCTTAATAAACCAATGCTAGAAATAACTCAATAATCATATATGGTATAATGGCTAAGTAAATTCTGGCATATTCATACAATGGAAAACTATAAAACAATAGCAGTGCATGAACCACAATTACACGCAACATGGATGAATCTTGCAAAGGTATTTTTGAGCTAAAGGAGCTAGACATAATGTAAATAATTCCATACATACATATACACAGTTCATAAACAGATAACACTAAGCTCTGATGTTACTGGCTAGAGCAGGAGGGATACTGCTGGAGTGCTAACTAACGCTTGGTTTCATTAGCTCAGTCATAGCTATGTGGGTATATTCACTTTGTGAAAATTCATTGAGTTGTACAACTATGATTTTGCATTTTCTGCAGCATTCAATTCTTCAAGTAAAAAGCTTACTAAAAATATTAATTGTAGTTACATTACATAATGAGAAATGCATTTTTCATTTGTTTTACAGCATTCTGTATTTTCCAAATTACTTATGATAAATAAATATTACTTTTTTAACAGCTTTTTTGAAGCATAACTTAGATGGATGAAATCAACTCACTTTAAGAGAAGTTTGGCAAATGTATAAAGAAGTGTAATCATGACCTTACTCAAGATATAGAACATTTCCCTCTCCCTAAAAGTTCCCTAATACCCTCCTGAAATAAATCCCTTTGCCACCCCAGCCTGATCTCTGGTCTGCTTTCTGTTGCTATAGTTTAGCTTTTTTCTAAAAATTGCACATGAATGAGATCATACAGTATGAAGATTTT